GATGGAGAAGCAGAAGGAAGGAAGGTCGAGACAATCCAAGGAATTGAGGAGGGAAGAACACACCTCCTGGGACGAAAGTTCGACTTTGACGGCGGACAGACTGTCCATCATCGAAACCAAACTCTCTCCCCTTGCAGATTCCTTTGATCATTTTGTGACAGTTGTTACTCTATGTTTCCCCACTACTCCTTCTCCTACTCCCACTACACCTACTCCTACTCCCACTACTCCTACTCCTACTCCTCTTGCTACACCCCATTCCCATGCAAGGTCCTCTGCTGCTGCATCATCCCAAGCTAGTAGCCCCAAGAGCGGACCGGCTACACCTCCAAAGGTGCAGTCCCTGCAGCTTGTGTCAGGTCACCCTGTGACTTTTGTGGTTAAAGTGACTGCAGGTGCAGGCCAGCAAAAATCGAGGCACCCCAAGAGAGTCCAACCTGACACATTCACTGGGGATAATCCCAAAGTGGATGTAGCAGACTGGACTGCCTCGATGAGATGGTATCTCAAGGAACTCACTTGCCCAGAGGTTACCAAGGCGTAGTCCACTGTGGCCCGTTTTGGAGGGCCTGCACTTCAGTGGGCTACTTCTGAGGCCACTAAGGCCCAGAACAGTTGGTCGACTGGGCTGTTACAGTAGGATTGGACCACATATTTAAGGGTCTGGAGGAGAGGTTCGCCGATCTAGAGAGAGCCAAGAAAGCTGCTGCAGAGCTTGTGAGGATAGGCAAGTCACAGTGGCAGGGATCCCTCTCCAAGCTCTACGCAGTTTGGGAAAGACTAACCTCTACCCCTGGGTTATCAATGTCTGACCAGGAGAAATTCCAATTGTTTATCCAGGCTACCTCGATAACCTATGTACAGACCCTGTTTACTGCAGGTCACAAGGACTGGAGGGCCTTTGGCAGAGCAACCTTGGATCTGGCGGCTCAACTCCAAATCCAGTCCACTTACCAGGCGGGAAGCACCTCCCCTTCTCAGAGTCATAGGAAGAGCAAAGGGAGGTGGCACGTGGTGGAGTCTGCGGAAGACTCTGCAGGCTTTGACCAGAGAGGATTGACTCCCTCAGCTGGTCAACGTGCAGGAGGCTTCCCAGACGAGGCTATTCTGACTTTGGCTCAGAAACTGTTGAGTGCCATCAAGGGCAACAATCAGATTCAGAGACAAAGGTCCCCCTCTCCTAAGGGGCTTGGCAAACGCCCCAGTAGGCCGCAGAAACAGAACCTCACTAAGTTTGTCAAATGCCCAGCTAACCCCATGGATCCTTCCATCCTCCCATGGAGGGATTTGCACATCTCAGATGGGCTAAGGCAAAAGAGGAAGGATGCTGTTGTCTGCCTCAGATGTGCAGGACAGCACTTTGTTGAGTATTGCCCGTCTTGGGGCCACCACCACTTTGGAACCTGAAGCAGTCAGCAGTAGACCCTGCTGACTTAGTCCCCGGTCGATTAAAGCAGGGTCAGATTCCAATACGTTTTGTTTGTTGATGGTGCTTGTGTGATCAGGCCACATTGGGCCTGATCCCTTAGCTGATCCCTTAGCTGATCACCTTGACTTGCATGTACATCACCTGTGCTTGAGGAAGAATTCGCTAAGTTCCGGGCGGATTCCATTTCTCAAACACCGCTGATAGACAGATGGTTAATTGGACTGAATTCATATTCTCTTAACGATGAATCAGCCCCAAGATCGCTTTCAGTGTAACAAGAATTTCATTGTGAGTTTACATTGAATCCTTGTCTGACTACCCCCTTGTACTTCCTGTGACTGGCATTCACACTGAACTGCACTCACTGTTTGGATGACCTGTGTTGAGAGAAAGTATGATCAGTGCAGATCCTACTTAATATTCTCACACATAGTCCGGATTGACTGCTCTCACAGGTAGAAGTCAGATATCCTCTGTACTTCTTGATGGTTGCATACTTGCATCTCTAGTGTTATGAACTAAGCCTGGAGAGCTATTGACTCCTGTATCCACTGGGCTCTGCCCAACATTGCCCCAAAATGTTTGGTCAGAGTGGAACTCTGTCTGTGACTAAACCCTACTCAGATAGACCTACCCTACACATGATCCTCTGTCAGTTCAAGCGTTATTGTTGAATATGGTCAGGCTTAGCCCCATATACAGATCTTGTCAGATGCTACCCTATTCTTGGGAAGAATCTGTGTATCACGCTTGCAAACACACAGATCAGGAGTTGAGGAGTCTAACCGATACCCAGTCCTGACAGAAATTAATCAGATTTTCAGAATTAATGGATTATGGCAAAGTTGATTACTAGGCTAACACCCTTGCATTCAACTAGATGGTCCATGCTGTTAATCTAAACCTCGATCATCTGATTTTCAGGATGTTGTTAGCTATCTATAAGCTGATTACCAGGCTAATACCCTTGCATTCAGCTAGCCAACACTCACTGATAATCTGAGCTACAACCCGTAGATTTTCAGAAGCTGATTGGTTGCCTAAAAGTTGATTACCTGGCTAATACCCTCGCATTCAACTAATCAATCTAATCTGATAGTCTCACCATAACCCTCTGAGGTTCTGAGGTCTTTGCGTTCTCCACCACTATGGACGTTTAGCGATGCTCTAGCTAATAACTCTCCTCCAATATGGCTGGTAGTTGGTTATGTAGCTTGTGGGTCCTCGCTCCCCGGGAGGGTAAGAATGCAATAAATCGCAGTTTCCCAGTGGGGCTGTAC